CACCCCACCTGCGAGGTTGAAATCAAGTAAATTCCTTACCTAAGAGTGGGAGGTCGATAAGCCCCGTCAAAGAAATGAAGTTTGTGAAACAAAGCATTCAATCATCACATCCTAACGAACATCGTCATCATTACCAATCCTCTCAACAGTAGAATAAATTAAATTGAAATTTTCAAGAACACAACACACTTATCCCCTTAGAGCATCTTTAATGCAGGTTTTTAATAGTTAATTTTTTATAGTTAACGATGATTATAAAAAATTTGCATTGGAATAGTTATGACATGACATTTAATTCGCTAACTTTTAGTTTCCGATAATTATATAGCTAACGTATGATATATAATTTGGGCCCACAAAAAATTTGCAATGAATATTTTATGTATTTTATTTAAAATAATTAAATTAATAGTAACTTCAATAAAAAAATAATTACAATTAAAAAATATCACACATAAGGTCAAGCTTTAGTTTTTTATAAGCACTATCATTAAAGTAAAAACAACTCAAATCAACTATAAATTTTTTAAATCCTACAAATCACTTTGAAACCACAAAAAATATCTTAATTTATCCGCTTAAAATACTCCCACTAAAGATACTCTTAAAAATTGAGATTTCCAAAAACACATCACATTTATCCCCTTAGGCTATCTCCCACATAGCTCTTTAATCATTAAAAAAACATTTAGAATATACATTGATAACAAATTACATACACAATTTTGATATTTAATAGTAGTTTTTACAATCTCTAATATCTTTCCCTTATGATACTTGAAATTATTTTATCACGTGTACAGAATTTTGTATAACGTGTACAGAATTTTGTATAAACATTATATAGCATGTGATATCATCTTAACTAATCAAAGTTTCTAAATTTGTCACTGCATCATTGTAGATTGCCTGTAGATATCAACCAAATATTGTACAGACAAATTATTGAACATATTCGGCACAACATTATTTTTTAAATTAACAAGATTTCTTTTTGTACTTTATAGACTTTTTACACATCATATGATTTTTCTTATATGCTCTTAGACTTCGGAGATATATCTCTAGACGCACTAAAATTTAATTGAACGTTAAAATATTTCGGAGATATATTTTCAGACGCACTAAAACTTAAGTGAACGTTGAACTATTTCAGAAATATATCTTCGGAACAATTTGGAGGCATATTATCGCGTCAGACTCTTCTCCTCCCTCACTTTTTCATTTTCATTCACAAACATCTTCATCTCTCTCATTCCCAAATATCTATCGACTTCACCAAATTTAATTTCATTTGTCCAAAACTCAAGTAATCATCAAGCAGCATCCAATACATTACTCAACATCTTTCAAATCATATAATTCGGGTAAATTTTTTGAGTTTTCGATAAATATTCGAGTATTCTTGTAAACGAGTTAGAATGCATTGTTTGGTGTAAAAATGTTTATAAATCAACTGACATATAGTTTAAAGTAAGTGTATATATTATTTGTTGGCTCAAATGGACGATTAGGACTTCAAATTTCTCATTCTGAGGGGCAGAGGACACCATTGTTGCGACCTCTGAGTTTCAAAAAATTTCGGAGATACATCTCCGAAAAATTTAACGTTTCATGTATTCTGGGTGAGTCCGGAGATACATCTGCGGAATATTTTCGTAGTTGTATCTCCAGAATCACCTAGAGTACATGAAACATTGAATTTTTCTGGAGATGTATCTTTGAAATTTTCTGTCTATTTTTTCTTCTTTTTGTTTTATAATTTTCTTGTTTGTGTTATTCATTTGTGTAAACTCATTGTACGGTTAATTATACCTTGCAGGCATAATGGCTAAAAGAGTCGACCAATTGAGGCATGGATAGGTTGTACAACACGCATCCGTTCGGCGGGAGCGGAGCCAGTAGGTTCTGGAGGCAGCAGGTACCTCTGGTCATGAAGAGGCGTTGATTGCTAGGGCTCAGCCTTCGCCTCAGGCCACTCCATCTACATCTCAACCCACGCCACCTTCTACTTTTTCTTCCCGCAGGCCACGGGATGCAACAGATGACGTGTCACTTCCTCCATCCTCCCGCAGGCGTCGGGATGCACTTGTGTCACCTTCTTTTGATCCAGTGCCACCTCCGGAAGGTGCGGTTGTTGATGATCCTGATGCACTGGTACCACCTCCGGAGGGAGATGTTGTTGATGTCGAGACCACACTGCCAGACATATCTAGGACGAAGAGGTAACATTAGTCACATTGTTACTATATTTATTTACGTTAATTTAAATTGCTAGCATTGATTATTTCTAATATTGATTCTTATAGACATTGATTATTTCTGGAAATTCTCATATGTGTGATCCCTAGAAGTTTATGAACCATGGGCGGAAGATTTTAGCATTGCATCAGCCAGATGAGTAGTGATTTCAGTCGATTTTGACCGTTTCTGGGTTGAGTGACCTATGCTTGACTGGTTACAGTTTGGTCAACCATGGGATGCTTAATGCATTCGTGGAGCAATGGCACTCTAAGACATCTTCCTTTCATCTCTCGCATGGTGAGATGTCGATTACACTAGATGACGGCTCGGGCTACCAAAGCGTCGAATGACTAGAGTTACATCAATGGATACATCAAGTGGTTCTTCAAGGTCTAACATCCGTACATGGTGCTGACTGCTCCAGGAGATCCACTGAGACCTGCTCATCAGGAGATTCTAGAGGGGGAGCAGACTCAGGTAGATCATACTGAGGATGTCTTGCCTCGTTGTCGTCGCATAGTAGAGATGGCGCGGACAGGCATTGGCGATGGTATCTTCCCTGAAGGGTCTGCTGTCAAGCGAATACTGGATGTCATTATTGCGAAGGCACGGGGAAGCACTTTTGTACCGCAAACATCGTACGAGGATAGGGGGGATTGATGGCTGAGAAGACAGACCAGGCAGAGGAGGCAGTGGAAAGGTTGTCAGGCATACCCAGTAGTTGGTTGTATTTATTTTGTTTCAGTACTATAATTTGTACGTTTTTCCTGACATTGTTATTACATTTTGGATTTTCGTGACGTATGATGGATTTTCCTTACATTGTTACTACATTTTGCCAGGCACTCTATGCTTAAGTCTTGATCCTATTACTATATTGTTATGTTATTTTGGTATGTCTGTTATTTTATAATTCATCTGCAAACAAATACACAATACATATTTAAAAAAAAAATTGTTCTGATACACTTTAGAGATATATCTCCGAAAATTTCTCATAGATGCATCTCTAAAAATATTCAAATAGAAATGGAGTATGGAAGATATATTGTGGTCATTTAAGGTTTAAATTGTTCTGAAAATATATCTTCGAAAAATTATTAACAATTTAATCAAAAATAAATCGCGTCCGGAGATATATTTCCGAAATCTCAAAACATATGTGAAAAACCACACGATAGAAAACAAATGCATTGAGTGCAATAAGAAATTACCTAAATTATTAAACTTAACTTCTAGCTTTAAAAACATTGCTATGTCGTGCTCCAAATTATTAAAATAGTAGTAACATATATGGCAAATAAAATCAATAATAAGAACTATCTCAGCTACTGATATTACTATAGTGAAAATTTTCACCCAGATTCAAACTCAGAAACTTCACCTTGTTTGTAATTAAATTCCGCAGTTGTTTAAATTTCAGTTCGTGTTTATCGTATTACTATTATAAACAAAGACTGCAAGATCTTGACCATAATAAACAAATGAAGTATTTAAAGAAAAGTATAATAAAATACACTTTTTTATGTATCCAAAGGAGTTTTCACCATGGATACATACGGATCTAAGAAAAATCAAATGAGAATATTTTATTAAGATGAGCATTGATCAGGGGAGGTGAGAAAGTAGGTAGTTTACACCATGGATACATATAGATCTTAAAGAATCAATGAAAAGATCTTATCAACTATCAAGACCATCGATCAGGTAAGGTGAGAAAGTAGGTAGTCATGGCCTTCCGGAATCTTTTCTTGTATTGTTTTGGTGAAACAATTGTGGGGGCAGCATTTTTAGGCCCCCCAAGTATTCCAGAAGCTTTAACCCATGTTTCTAAATGCTTGTCCCATGTGTATTGTCTCATGAAATCAATTATCCCCAATACCAGTTCCTTTTTCTCATCATCCACCCCAACCAGCAATGAGTAATCCATAACAGCAACGGACTGAAACAGCAACAACAATCACACAGGTCTAAGTCATTAACAAACTTTTAATACTAAAAATGAAAAAAAAATTTACCAATTATTTTAGCTTACCGCCAAAAAGGATGTGTCGTTCCACACAGCTCTCTCGAGTTTTCGCTTAGCCTTACTTCCGAGAAATATGGGATTTGTTCTCAATGTTTCTAACAAATTCATGTCTAGCATCACTTTGTTAGCCCCAGTTGTGTCTGCATTGTACCTAGATCTTTCTGACCCTTTAAGATCATACACCCTGGTTATGTTTCTCTTGTAAAAGAGATTCTCCATTACTATCAGATCTATCTTTGTTTCCTTGCCACCTTTTGGGTATTTTACAGTGACCTGTGTTTGTTAAAGCAACATTTATATATATTATAAACCAAAAAATTTACATTTCATCAGCAATCTGGAACTTGTATAAGGTGATCAAGTATGAATCTTACCTGATAAATACCAAGAATTTTGGCAAGGCAAGTTGGGCCACCCGAGTTCATTGCATCTATCAGGTATTTGAAATATTGAGGTGCAAACTCTTCAAATGATTCTAATTCGGTCTTCGTCACTTGTTTAATAATAAACCTTTCATCTAATGACTTGGCAAAGTATGCATTACTTTTCCCTCCCTGTGCACTCCATCTCCGGGCACGGGTAAGAGATCGCACGAAATCAACTTCATTAGGGCAACACTTTTTTCTAAGTGAATCAAACTGCTTTGCAAAATAGCAAGTGACAGAAAAGTTCACTTTACCTCCAGCACCCAAAGAATCGTCGCCGAAAGAGATTTGTGCATGCAAAGGTTTTTTGTTGTCCCGAATAAAAGAACTAATTGAAGATGGAGGAGCATCATCAGAGCCATAACTAGCATAATTGATATAATCCAAGTCCAAAGTGGCCCATGCAGAAAAGCTGGAATTAGCTAAATCTTCTTTGTTTCTCTCGCTAGAATTCCAGTTCCCATCATGCAGATCAGACTTCCCAGAAACCCAATCTTCGTAATCCTTAGAGCTAAGAGCGTAGGATATTATGCTGGAGTAATCGTTGTCATATACAGCTATAACTCTATCACCGTGACATGTTTGGGGAAGCAGCAACCGAGCACCTTCAGCAATGTGAGAAATGGAAGAAAGGAATGATGGCGTGGAGCTCAAGATCAGATTTATCTTCTGTGATTCCCACGGCAACGCTTGAAAGTTACTTTGCAACACATTTGAGATGGGGTCTCTGACCATATTCCTGTAGTCTCCAGAAGCGTGAAAAGATCGATGTGTTGACATGTGTAAAGATGAGGGCAGGTCTTTCTTGATTTTTTCTTGAACTCTTAATGCCGAATCAAAAGAATGAACTCTCAGTGGTTGTGTCAACCTTTTAAAGGAAGAGTTTACCGGGACAGGTTGATCAGTTCCAGTCCATGCCAAATCTATTTTTTCAGAAAGATTGGATTCCTTTGATGGTATACAGTCAGATAATGTATTGTTGTAAACAAATTCACCATCGGAATGTGGTTCTTCCCCATCAGGATAACACGCAGATGCTTCAGAACCATGACGAGACTCAACTTGGTCATCTGGCTCTACAAGCTTATGACTTTCATGAGACTCGTGCAATTTTGAAGGCTGAGAATTATTTTGCTCCAGCCAAGAGTCAAAACTTTGGTCCTTATGAAGTGAGTCAACTCTTAATTCATTATTAACATCAGCAAATGATTCTCTTTCTTGTTTAACCTTAGAACTAAGACTTCTTTTAATAAGAGAGTCCAATGTGGATAGCTGGTGATCCCAAACATGTGAACCAATTAGAAGTGAACGTCTCAGCCGATTCAGTTCCAAAATGTCTAAAGTCATATTTCCTGGCTCAGCAGTCACATCGGCTGATTTTAGCAAAGTCTGTACATACACACATGGAAGGAAAAAAAATAAGGAAATAGATCAAGAACTTAGATACATACAAGTATATTCATTCATCAGAAAACTGTAAGAATTAGCATATGCACAAACAACCCTTTCCTCCAACACCATGCACCATAAAATTAGTCTACTCACATGATAATCCATTTTTTCTCTTAGAAGAGTGTTTTTTAGATCAAGTATGTGGTTATGAATGTCATAGGCATCTGACAGCTCATTTCCAGCCCCAGGAGAGAAAACCTTTGTTTCCAATTGTTCAAGCACATCTGATATCTCCGCATACAAGGTTTCCACTTTACTAAAAAGCTGTGCAAAATAAGGGAGGGAGAAGGTTAAGAATTTGATACCAAGGAGGTAATAAAGCAAAATGGTAAAGAAAATATTAAGAGTGTATTTGTTAAATCACCTCTCCTGCCACCTTTCTAATCCACTTTTCTGGGATGTAGCCGAATTCCAGAACAGATGGGGGTAGATGGACAGAAAGAACATCAATAGGGGAATACCGGAAGAAAACAACCATGCTCCCAAACCTGTTTACATCAAGTTGTATGTAATTTTTCAAGTATCAATAAATAACCAACTAAGAATTGTATAAAAAAAAAGAAAAGGAATAACCAATTAATGATTCCATGTATGGATGATTTATTTACCCATAAAACCGGAGGCAGTCTCTTTGCAAAGAATGTCCGCAGGTAGCAACTCGATTAGCAGTTGCATGATTTGAGAAGCTAAGTTCCAAAAACTTTCCAAAAGACAATCCCCAAGCAGACTTCGACATAACAACTCTCTGAGTTGCTGGTGGAACTCCATCCACAAATGGGCACCTCAGACACCGGTGCCACATCCAAATCTTGCCATCACTTTCCCCCGGTAACTTCACAGAGGGGAGGCGCTTAACATTGATAGTAAGATTTCCTTGCTGGTGTGTAAAACAAAGGACATGGGCCTCGGCAGGCTCTTTACAAGACTGACAGCGATATGCCTGGAAAAGAACGGTTTGAAACATCTCCGTTCAGAATTAACCAGTATAAGGCTAACAGAAAACAAAGAAATAGAACACCGCTTACCTGATCAAAAAGACTATTGTGGAGATATCTCCCAAGTGGCTTATCAAAAGAGCCATAGAATTTTATGCGCAGCAATCTAGTCCGTTCACATAAAGTTCCTTTTGATACACAATGACTGGAAAAATACACTAATATGTTCTGATGGGCTTCAGCGGCAGAAAAGTATTCACCAGAAAACTCATCCTCATTAATCTTGTCTTTTGTGGAGTCAAAAACTTCACACTCTCTTTCCCCTTGAAGCATGGTTTCTTGCAAATCTACTCGCGAAGGGTCTCTAGACATAGTGTCTGCCTCTGATTCACTGCACTCATGCAAATAATCTGATTCTAAAGTCAAATTAGATGTTAGGTTATTATAGTATGGATCAGAGAGCATATTCTCAACACTATAATCCCCCATGGTGCCTCTGTATGAATCAAAGTTAAGTTCATCGAGATTCCCCGACACTGATCCCAAATTTCCAATCACCACATGACCAACAGAGTCTTTCGCTCTAGAAGCATCATCAGCCTCTGATTGGCACGTGGTAGAAGAAAAAGTATTAGATACTACAGAAATGTCAGTGTCAGCTATTGCACTCTCCGGCGTGTCTGTTGAGTGTTTTACTATCATTTTAGGCAGGGTGGCACCCTCATCAGCAAGGAACGAGGTCTCAAGAGATAAATGATAGGCCGCAAATATTGCATATTGCACAACATGTTTAATTTTTTTCAGTTCTTTACGACATGAGCCCTTCAGTAAGACCTGAAGCAAAAAACCATGTAAGAAACAGAACAAAAAGAACATGAAACAAATATTTCAGAAGAAAGTATCCGAGTACATTACCGTGCATCCCAAACGCCGCGGGCAACCTTCAAAAAACATTAAAGTTTTGGATGGCTTTTTGTTGGACTGGTTACCAGCCTCATGATCTTCCACAATCCGGTCTAACCGGAACAATTCACAGTGCCCTAGACGTGCTTTTGATAAACTATCCACTGATGGAGCAATAAGAGCACCAGTGCAGCGAGCTATACGCTCAAGCAAAGGCTTTTTAACATTCAACACCAAGGAGATTTCCTTTGCCAGTAAATATTCCTGGGCTTGTGAAGCAACACTTTTTTCTACCAGCAAAACATTTGGTCGAAGAGCCTCAATATTCGAAATAATCATCTTCAGATGATCATTTTCCTGCCAGCATTAACAAATCAATAATTACTTCCAACTTCCAAGAAATGAAAAAACATAAACTGAAAGACACATAGGCCATTGGGTAATCATGAAGGCACCTGCTGCAACAATGTATCGAAAGAAGCCAGCTGATTTGGAACTTTCTGGTATTCCAGTGATCCTCCTAGGAGTAGTAGTCTAGGCCTTTTATATTGAGAGGTCATGCGTTTGTGCTTTATATTTTTCGTGCAGACAACTCCTTTGATAAGGGTGCTACAAAACAAGAACCATAATTTCACGGTTAACCACATAGAAATGCCTAGGAATGTGCTGCAGTGACCTACAAGGTACATAGGAAAATTCGGGAACATGCATTACCTGTCATTCGGGCTTCCAGATGCTACACATTTGACCTTTACATAATCACCGGGATCCATACTGCCACCTTTACTAGTGTCTGGTCTCACAAAGTTAGCAGCCTGCCATGCTACAGTTGTAACGATGTCAAGCCAGTCGACAGAATCATTCTCCTTATCATCTTTAATTCCCTCTGCCTGTAAGAGTTGTGAAACAAGAGCTCTAAAATGCCCCTGTACGACAGATGTTAAAGGTTCCTTGTTTCCCTCATTGTGTTTCTCTTTTGCAGGAAACATATTAGATAGACTGCTATTGGATGAGAACAAGGCACCTGAGTCACCAATATCATCATCCTCGTCGTCATATGCAAAGAAATTGCTTTCTGCATCAGCATCTTTGTCTTCGGGTGGTGGAGGGTACCAAATTGGTTCATTGTTTTCAAAATCCAATGGCCTCTGTGAATTCTCAATCTCATTCCGGATTGACAAGTCATCAGAAAAATAAGTAGTGTTATATGCATCCTCAGTCCCGGGTTCAGGCTTTCTTAAAACAGCCATACTTTGTTGACTAGAGGGAGCATCATACTGATCAATGAGGCCTTTCTCCTGCCCCTTCTTCTGGATAGGAAGCCCGGCCCGACTGGAAGTAAAATCAATCCTAGAAGGGCTATCTGAAGGACTTGTACCCACAGAATTAAAGTTGTAATTGTCATGTCTAGCACTAACGCTACTTGAATCTACATCTGAATTGTTATCACAATATGTACGAGATGGGCTGAGAGAGTTCTTCCCAAAATCTTCTGTCGCTTCTTCATCACTCCTATACATTCGTATATAATAATGTTCCAAGCGGGATTAGATAAACTAGGCAAGTCCGTTTGAGTTTTAAATCATAAAAAAAAAAAAAAAAAAAATATGTTCACATATTCAACAATGAGAAATCATGTACTTGATAAACACATACAAACTTATATATGAGAACAAACAAGGCAAACCATTTCTATAAGAAATCATATAACTACGTAACTTAAAGCTAAAAAGTTGAAATTATGATTACCTTAAGGTAGATGGAAGAGTGGATACTGAAGAAGAGTGAGCACCAGATGAGGTCAAACTCCTATTAAGCATGGAATGAGCGTAATATGCTGACTCTCGATCATGAAAATAGCTATCTCTTTCAGTTTCACCACTAAGACTCGGCGAAGGTGGCTCGGGACTCTGTCTAGGACTCTCTTGTGGAGAAACAGCAGGATGCACTTTCTCAACACACTTCCTCGGCTGACCCTCAGGCGTCCTATTAGAAACCGAACAATATTTGCAAGAACTAATAGCTTCCTTGATTCCACTACTATCATCAGATTCAAGAATTGGCAGATCACAAATTCTCATACACTTCCCACACAACCAACGGCCACAGCTCTTACAATTATACTTAAAATTTGTATCACACTCACAACACATTTTGCAATCACTATTTTGCATATCAAAATTCTGAGATAAACAAGACAAATCACCACCTCCCCAAGAAACCCAAGACCTAACCTTTTCTATTAGATCTAGAAATGAAGTATCAGGTATTCCCATATAAGATGCAATAAACCCAATAAAGAACTCAATTCCCTTCGACCTAACTTGAGAATATGAAATTCAAATTCATGAAATTTAAATTTCTTCCACAAAAACAAAAATAAACAAAAAAAACCAATCTTTTAACACCAGAATACAATACTAATCACTAAAATGATCTTAAAAATAAAAAATCAAGAGAAAAGTATTGGTAAAACCCACAATAAAATTTGGGGGAAATAGGTGAATGAGATTGGCTAAATAAAATTCAAAACTAAAAACTATTTCTTTTTTTTTTTTCTTTTTGTTGATTGATTGCAAATCCTCCTGGGAATCAAATAATATCAAAGGAGGAAGCTATAGCTATATAAACTATAACAAAGAAAATCAACCAATCTGAAACTATATACACCAAAAAAACAAGTAGAGTCCAAGAAGAATGATTTTGAATATGAAAGTTGATCAAACCCTAAATCATGCATTGATGAATCGATAGAAGCGTTTAGAGTGAAAACGAGTAAATGTTTAGGTTGAGAAGTAAAAGGTGAAGAAGTCAAGTGATGAAAAGTGAAAGAAAGAGAGAAAGATGAACTAAATGGTGAGGAGAATGAGAATGAAAAGGAGGAAGAGAAGAAGTGCAGAGAAGGTTCCCTTTCTACCGGAGAAGGCTCGCATCTCAAACAGCAACGCTACTCTCTTGTTGCACATTTTTCTTTCTTTCTCTCTCTATGCTTCACTTTCTTTTCTTTTCTTTTTCTTTCTTTTTCTTTTCTTTTCTTTCACCCTTTCCCTCTCTCTCTCCACCTTATTCTTTTTTTTTTTTTTTTTTATATTATTTTTTATTATTATAATGTATATACTCGGTAAATATTGTTCATATTGATTTTTTTTTAATTTAATTAAAATACAGTGTATAAAGTTTATACAATTAATAAATCATAACCGTATATTTGACTTTTTTTAATAATATACAAAATATTACTTGTAAATGATTGTAATATATTGAATAATAAAATTAATTTTATTAAATTTTAAATTCGACTGCTTATTCTCTTTCACATTTTTTACACTATTAATGAATAAATTTATAATTTTTTAAACTATATTTTTTATATTATATTCTACAAAAATTCTTATATGATATGATGATATATGGTTTCATAAATAATATATCATTTATAAATAGATAAATTATTAAATTTATTGACAAAAGTATAAAATAAAATTAAAAGTGAAGTTGTTTGATTTTAAAATAAAAATAATAATTTTGTAAATAAGACAAAATAAGATGACTAAGCTATAATTAAACCTAATAAAATTAATTAAAAAATGTATTTAAAATAAAAATATATTTTACACCAGTTAAAATTTATAAATATTTTTTCCATCAAAATATAAAAAAATAATAATAAGTAAACATATATTTTCTTAATCATGCCAAGATTATGTATTTGAATAAATCTCCTAAAATAATTTTATATCAATATTCGATGTGAACCTTAATTTTGCCAAAGATGCCAAGACTATAAATATTTTTGAAAATAACTTAAATATATTTGATCCTGATTTATTTATATATTTAGAAGAAATGTTTCATATTTATTAAATATTTGTGTGGAATTAATTTACATGTATGAGGATCCAAGTCCCTATCAGCATGCTTAGTAGGGTTTAAATTAGTATATCATTATTTTGAATCCTACTATCCTTAGTTAATTAAGAAAAATATATTTTATTTTAAAACTGTTTGTTTTGATCCACTCGCAAGTTTTCCTGTTCATTGGTCAACATCAGTGTGTGTATCATGTATGTATATGGTAGGCCACATATAGAATTCTTTTTGCACTTTATAAGTCTATATATATATATATATATATATATATATATATATATATATATATATATATATATATATATATATATATATATATATATATATATATATATATATATATATATATATATATATATATATATATATATATATATATATATATATATATATATATATATATATATATATATATATATATATATATATATATATATATATATATATATATATATATATATAATCTCAATCGGGAGAGAAGATAGTTGTATTTGAAAACTTAATACTATTGATTGAATTCATAAGGCTACAAAAATTGAGGGGATAAGTTTGTGCCAAGTTATTATTCAAGAAAGTTTGTGCTCCTGATGATAGTGTGTGTAATGTTGATTTATTAACCCGCATTAAACAAACACTAAACTCCAAAAATTAATCGGTTCATGATAATTTTATGTATCATAAGTCATGATGAGTATTTTGATCACCGTTTCTCGACAAAATTTAATCTCGATAATTTAAATTTATAAAACTAAAATTTTATTACCATTAATTATGATATATAATCTCAATATTTGATAGCATTGAAATTTAATCTCATTCATGAAAGTAATATCAAATGTGGTTTAATCAATGTTGACTTTCTTTGAGGAATATTGAAATTATACAAGATAAAGATGACATTTTTAGATATAAGGATGGTCCTTCAATTAACGTTTCTCTCCAAGATTCTAAAGGCGGATACACTAATAAAGTTATTTACAACAAATTATGCTTCGTTAAGTCCTACATGACTAATAGTTTTAGAGAACTCCGACTCAAAGTTGCCTCCATTAAAAACCTTATGCAAAACCAAAACAAAGATGAAAGTAGTGAAAAGGAAAGTGAGGAAGAGGAAGAGGCTGAAATGGAGGATAGTGATTAGGATGTCATTGTATTTCTTATGCTATTATGTGTTTTTTTATGTTTAACTAAGTTTAAGATTATGTATTGTGTTATTAAGAAAAGTTATTTGTGTTTTCGTTTTGTTGGCTGGAAATTTCGACATCATGTTCTTATTTGAGAAACTAAGTGCAAATTAAAGTTTCTTAAATTTGGTGGACTTCGACAGAAGTTAATGTGAAGTTTTGTCGAAGTGGTTCTCATAAGGAGACGTGCTTGGACAAAAACTTAGAAATATTTTATAAGTATGGAAGGATTACTTCGACGAAGGGATGATTTGGAGCCTTCCTTCGACAGAAGTTTGAATTTCAAAATACAGATAGATAACTGTCTTTTGTCCTTATCCGTTTTCTCAGGAGAGACACGTGGAGAACTATGGCGAAACAAAGGCATGCATGGCGAAACGTGTCAACTTTTGGAGAAATGCTCGTTGGAGACAGTTATTTCGATGCATTATAAATAGGAGTCTTAGTATTAGGATTTCGCGTGTTCAATTGTTATACTGTACTCAAAATTTACTCAAAGTATCCAAGTTAACGTGGAAAAAAAGTTACTATTGAGAAATGTATGTTGAAACACCATACTTTATTCAATAAGAATTTACTTTCTTTTTATCAATTGCTTTTTACTGCATTTCTTTTAATTTGAAGTTCTTTTCTTCACTGCATTTCTTTTATAAACTTTTGTAAAGTTTAACCTTTTCAGCAAACAATCAAAACAATCTTGTTACACTAATGAATGTTGTCGAAGTGTTCATCATTTTTTTTCAGAAATACATTAACGCAATAATTATATCCTCAAGATTCACTAGTTAATCTGCAACTAAACCAAATATTTGGAAGACCAACGGTTGTTTACCAAGAGGTTGAAAGACTTCTGAGATGCAAATTCATCCGTACGACTAGGTATGTCGAATGGATTGCTAATGTAGTTCCATTTATTAAGAAAAATGGAACTTTAAGGATTTATATAGATTTTAGAGATTTAAATGCTGCAACCCCAAAAGATGAGTATCCAATGCTTGTGGCGGAAATGCTAGTCGACTCTACTGCAGGTCATGAGTATCTAAGTATGCTCGACGGATATTCTGGATATAATCAGATTTTTATTGCTGAAGAGGATGTGTCAAAAACAGTCTTTCGATGCCCTGGAGCCTTAGGCACTTTCAAATGGGTAGTAATGCCCTTTGGCCTAAAAAATGTTGGGGCAACTTATCAAAGCAATGAATTTGATATTTCATGACTTCATTGGGACTTTTACGCATATTTATGTTGATGATATTATAGTCAAGTCAAATTCAGGAAGAAGTCCTATAGATCATCTTCGACAATCTTTTGAAAGAATGAGGAAACATGGTCTCAAGATGAATCCTCTCAAGTGTGCTTTTTGTGTGTAGGCGGGGGATTTCCTAGGCTTCGTGGTCCATAAAAAAGAAATAGAGATTAATCATAACAAGACCAAGGTTATCATGAAGGCGAAAGCGCCTTCGACAAAGAAAGAGTTGTAGTCTTTGATAGGGAAGATCAATTTTCTAAGGAGATTCATTTCCAATCTAAGTGGCAAGACTCAAGCCTTCTCACCTTTACTTCGAATCAAGCAAGAAGGTTTTGGGTGGGAGCAAACGCAACAAGAAGCATTTGACAAGATCAAAGAATACCTTGCTCACCCTTCGATTCTGGTACCTCCTTGTAGAAATATGAGTATGAGATTGTACATAGATGCGTCATACAAGACTTTAGGGAGCATGTTAGCTCAATAGGATGAAAACGGCGTCGAAAGATCCATCTATTACCTTAGTAGAATCTTGAATGATGCAGAGACTAGATATAGTATAATTGAAAAGTTGTGTCTTTGTCTATACTTTTCTTGTACAAAATTAAAGCATTATATAAAACCAGTCAAAGAAAGATTTGAAATATTGGATATAGATAGTTTGACAGATGAAGATTGGAGGAAGCCAATAATAAATTACTTGCAGAATCCAACAACTTCCTTCGAACGAAAATTTAGATATCGTGCCTTAAGCTATGTTCTGATGGGGAATGAATTATTCAAAAAGACGCCTGAAGGTGTCTTACTCAAATGCCTTAGCAAATCTTAGGTATATTTGGCTCTTTCGAATGTCCATAGTGGGGCATGTGGAGCACATCAAGTAGGCCATAAGATGAAGTGGTTATTGTTTTGAAAAGGAATGCATTGGCCTATAATGCTTAAAGATTGTATTGAATTCTCCAAAGGATGTCAAGAA